TAAGGTGAGATTACGATTAATATAGTTAACGATTCTTGTCCCTTAATAAACAGTTAAAATGTCCACGCACGGGCTATACATACTTAATTTGTTTCATAAAAGCAAGTATGTGATAGAGAATGGTGTAGTGAACACATTTGAGAACAAGCCGAACGACGTACTTGTTATTGATAGTAGGTTGTCATATGATGAGTTGGTTAGTTTGGTTTGTGTGACGTTCGGTTGGAATCTTGAAATAGCTAAGAAACTCCACATTTTGTTAATATTTGTGACTCACGGTGTAAGGCACGCCCTGAAGATAAAGAATGATTCACATGTTGGGATCATCTATCACCTCGAGCCAATGACAAGTGTGGATTTGTACATTGAGATGGAGGATATCACTAACCAAGAAAATGGGAACAATCATTATGGTGGATCTTTCTTTGCACAAGATAATCACATGGATGAGGGTGAACAAGATGGTCCAAGGCAAGAACAAGCAAGTACTTCACGGGTTCATGAAGAAGATGGTGAAAGTTTATTTGCAGAAGATGATCACTAGATGATAATGATTCTGACTACGTAACTCCAAGCAAAAGCTCGGAAGCATGAGATCTAGTGATGATGATGGAAGTAATGATGAAGAATTGGTGAATAAAGAAATAGAACTAAATCCATTTCCCGGCGCCATGTGTATAAGAAAATGGGTGAATGGAATGCGTTGCGTGTTTACAAGGATGATCTTGATATAAAAATGTGGGACGAGACCCCCGAAGGGATGGACATTAAAGTTTGTTTCAAGTCTCAAGGAGAAGTAAAACATGCCGTGAAATTGTGGAACATCCACCATAAAAGGGAGTTAAAGGTTATCGCGAGTAATCCTAAGGCGTGGGCGGCGATGTAGGACATTAAATCCTTCCCCCCCCCCCCCCCCCCCAAGATGGCGAACCCATATGCAAATGGAGGATCCGCGTGTCACTAAGAAAGCAAGGCTTATATCAAATAATGAAATGGCGGTCCGCACACAATTGCACGAGAGTGGTTAATGATAATGACAATCGTTGTGCTGACTCCGCGTTTATTGCTAGACTAATCATGAGAAAGTTTGCGAACAACATGGATTACACGGTAAAATTAGTGCAAAAAGATGTGAAGAGGTTGGTAAAAGTTGATGTCCCCTACAAACGGGCGTGGAACGAGAGGAGGAAAGCCATAGAGGCAGTTTATGGCGATTGGTCCTCTAATTTTGAAGATCTTCCTAGGTAAATTTTAATTTTGATAAATGTCAATTAATTTGTTTTAGTTTTTACTTGTACTGACATATATTTAACTCGAACAAACTTGATGTGTAGGTATATTGAAGCACTTAAGAGTACTAATCCTGAAACTGTAGTGGAATGGGAATGAAAGGAGGGAGAAAAAGGTTGGAATATGGGAATGAGGACTTTTAAATATGTGTTTTGGTCATTTACACCAGTGGCTGCAACTTTCCTTGAATGTCTGCAGGTGATTTCTGTTGATGGAACAAACCTACGTGGGGGATACAAGGGTAAGTTGCTAGAAGCTCGTGCAAAATGGCGGTCCGGAGCAACACCAAAGAAGGAGACGCAAGATGCAAATGGATTATCGTGTTCGGCGAACAAGTAATGCAAATGGATTACTGTGCTCGAGATGCGGAGGAGATCACGATACTAATTCGTGTCCTCACTCGCATCCCCAAGTAGATAGAACACATTTGGTGGACGAATGGGAGCATGAAAGTGATTAGTTTGTTGTTGTATTTTGTAGAACACCTTATTATGCAGTGTTATCTCTTGGATTGATCGCTTAATTCGTATCTTATTATGCAGTGTTATCTCTTGGATTGATCGCTTAATTCGTATTATCATAGAGTATAGTCTGGTGGAAGTTGTTGAATGTTTACAAGTTTTGGGAATTTATAAAACAAAATTGACCTTATTAACAATTAGGTAACCCTCGGATTTGCCAAATCCGAAACTTACCATTTAGTACACGGCTCGGATTCATCAAATTCGAGTCTGCCCTGTTTCTCTGTTTGTTTGAGGGTAAGATGACTCGGATTTGCCAAATCTGAAACTCACTTTTAGAAGATCTTTCGGATTTGGCAAATCCAAGTGTGTCCGGTTCTCTGATATTGGATTTGACAAATCCGAGAGTGTCCAGTTCTCTGATATCGGATTTGGCAAATCCGAGAGTGTGCGTTTCTCTGGTATCGGATTTGTCAAATCCGAGACTTCTTGCAAAGGGGTATCTCGGATTTGCCAAATCCGAGTCAGTCGGGGGTATATAAGGTGTTGACCTTCTTCCCCCTAATTCATTTTCAGCCCCCCTCTGATTTTGCCCTACCACCGTCGCGGCTCCTCCCTCCTCCATCACGTAAATCCGCCACTCCCGGCCAAATCTACTCCGCCATTGCCATTCCACCATCACCGTCGGTCTCCACCACTCCGTCGCTGCCGTTCCCCTATCACCGTCGTTCCCATACCACCACCACGCACCACCTCCGTGAACACCACCACCACCGCTGCTAACACCACCACCACTCCTCCATTGCTCCACCGCCGCCGCCGTCATCCTTCCCCCTCTCCACCTTACAAAGGTATCCTTCCCCCTTTCAGATTTACCCTAAATTTTACCCTAATTTAATTTTGCCCTATTTTTTTTTTGAATTGTTGCTCCTGATAGTATTTGGAATAATTAATATGTTCGGATTTGATGTTATCGTGCATATTTTATTGATGCGATGGTGATTATTTTTTTTGCCTCCCTAAATGTTGGAATTGGGTAATCCGAGAGTGTATTTTTATAGTGTTGTTATTGAAAGTGTTAGAATTGGGTAATGTGAAGGATTATTTCCTCCCTAAATGTTAGAATTGGGTAAATGTTTGATGGTGATTCTTTGAAGAAAATGTATAATTATCTCTAATCATGCATGTAGGTTTTTTTTTTTTTTTTTACTTTTGAAAAGGAGCATACATGTATGTTGGATGGTTCAATCACGTGTAGGTTAATATCCTGGATTAGAATGTGTGGAATTGTGGAATTGTTCTTTATTTATTTATTTTCTTGTTTATGTATATATAATGTTGTTTATAGTGTTTTTTTTTTGTGGTGTAGTCTTTGATGGGGGAGGATTCACCTAGTCCACCACCCAGTCCACAATATAATGAGTGGTTTCTTGAGCCCGGTCCCATACGAGAAATTTTTGTATCTTCAAAAAGAACATCGGAGTTTAGCAATATATCATGGCTCCGATTCAATGATCAAAACCGAAACTTTAAAAAATTTTCGGTTTGATCAAAGTTTTGGGAGTGTTATTATAGTGATAAAACCCCTCCACAGGTTGCAAAAAGTGTGATAATTGTCTCATCACCGCATTGGTGGAACGATGGAGACCTGATACACACACTTTTCACTTTCCATTCTGTGAGGCAACCGTGACGTTGCAAGATGTGGAGGTTCTATTTGGTCTCCGGGTCGATGGGGACATGGTTTATGGTGGCGCCAAACCATGGTATGGCACAATGGTAATCAATTTGCCAAGAGATGTTGGGATTCACCCCTGCCGAGGGTTGAATAAGTGAAAATACTCTTAAGATTTCGGTTGTAGAGGAAGTGGCAAAACGTGCAATCCATGAATGTAATATTTAAATTTATTTATACTTTTTAATATAATTTGTATTAATTACATTTTTGGCCAAACAAATATAAAGGTTTGAAGTGTTGTTTTTGTAGGCTCTCCAGAGGTCGTGTATCAACAAAGTGCCCGATTAATGCTTTTGTGGTTTGTGGGTTCTTTTATGTTTCCAGACATAAGCCAAAACAGTGTTGGTTTATATTTATTGAACTATTTGGGGGATTTTATTCATGTGCAAAACTTAGTTGGGATCGGCTCTACTTTCTTACTTGTATTCTAGCCTGTGTGAGGCTAGTCATCATGAGAAACGTGATGTAACCGGCTATGTGTATCTTCTACAAGTATTTATTTATTCAATACGTGGCAATTCAATTTGAAAAACATTTAATTATATTGTGAAGTATTATTATTTATTGTTGTTGTTATTGATTTAGGTTTGGGTATACGAGTGAATCCCAAGAATCATGCCCCAAAGAATTTTAAAGAGATTTGGAGAGGATCCTACAGCTCCTTTAGCTTATCGGTGAGTTTATTTCCTATACTTTTAAGGTAATAATTACGAATATTTTTATTATTTTTATTGGATAAATAATACCCTTGATTTTTTTTTTGTATTACAAGGTGGAATTACTCATACTCATACAAGGGCATCTCAAGGTCTAATCTCCCGAGTTTTAGAGACCAATTGACCGCCTTAAAAGCCAGTGATATAAGCATGAAAAGGTTCTCAATTTATTATTTTTTTTCCCCACCATTCTTATGTGAATTAATCCAATTTTTCCCAATTTTTTTCACAGTTTGTTTGGCAACCCTACGAGGATGTCCTCCCTACCCTCCCTGGTTATTGTAAACATGGAAGTGCCATTTGGATGGCAAGGATGTGGATATTCTACTGGGCTATCCGAGAACTCCATAAAATTGACAGGGTCGTGAGACAGTTTGGCCAAGGAATTCCCTGATGGCCTATGATTGCTAATATCCAAGAGAATATAAATGCTCACGGACACAACATGTCTGAGCTTACTGAGAAAAATTGGGTGGAACACTATAATAAAGTACGCCCCCATTGGAATAGGAGAGCCGAAACATTCCTACGGATTTGGAGGAAGGGGAGCCCGGTCAAACTAATGAGAAATACGAAGCGTGGCATAACAAAGGTTCGGTAAAATTGATAAGCGATCCGAGCCACTACTCATCAGCCGGATATCAAGCTTCCTCGAGCGAGGTGAAAGTCTATGTAAGTGTTTATTTTCAATTAATCTTGGAAATGCATATTACTCTATTCATATAAATTTTGAATTATACTCCTTTAGTTAACGCATTATTTAATTTTCAGGGTGAAGTGCTGAACAATGTCCGTATGCGGGCCAAATCATTCCAAGAAGAATGTTGTAAAGCCCATGACCTAGACGACGAGTTCGAAAAGGTGCTCGACTATTTCGCGAACGTAACCCACAATGCTTTAACTTTCGGAAAGAACGATGAGATGGAAATTGAGGATTCTCAAATCCTTGTGAAGTATGATACGAGTCACCCCTCACCAGGTCCATGCGGTAAAATAATGAAGCCGTGGCCAAGAGATAAAATTAGAGGGGGAAGAAAGCGAAGGAATCCTTTCAGGCCATCACAGGATCACGCAAAAGGTTCGGGCCAACACGAGCAAGAGAACCCAGGAAGAGAGAATGTAGGAGGAGAGGAGGAAATGGGACGAGACAATGTGAGAAGAGAAGACGATGTTGGTTCTTCGAGAGGATCTTACACTCCACGTGAAGAAGAGGTACCTCTCACCATTACTCTTGGAGGAGAATTGCAAGTCCTAAAGGTGGAGCCAATTCTTACAATCCGTCCAGAGCCGTAGGAACAAGGGTTCGCAAATCCGACAAACCGCGTAATCGGTTGGTTAAATTTACCCCACCCACTATTCCTAGGAGAGGGAAAAAATGATTGTTGATTAGTATTTTTTAGGGGTTTGAATGATTTTGAATTGTTAGTTGAGAATTTTACATTATTTTTTTATGAAAATGTGATCGTTTTGTTGTTGAATTAGTTTGTTAGGAATTGGTTGTTGGTGCTGTTTAAACAGGGTTAGAACTAGTGAAAACCAGTCCATTATTTTTTTAAAGTTTCTGGTATGTCTTGGATTTGGCAAATCAAAAATATACCATTTGGGGTTCTTTCGGATTTGGTAAATCCAAGAGTTCCGCAGACTCTGCAGATCTTTCGGATTTGGCAAATCCGAAACCCCTCCTATCTAGTTTTTACACTTGAAATTTTTTTTTCTAAAATTTAAAATAATATTTTATTCAACAACTCGGATTTCTCAAATCCGAAACATTTTCTCTCAGATTTGGCTGATCCGTTTCTAGTCAAATTTTATTTTCGAACACTTAAATTTTTTTTCAAAATATAAATTATTTTTTTAATAAAACCTTTCAGATTTGGCTTGTTCAATTTTAATTAATTATTTAGTTAAATTTAATTAATTTCAGCTTGGACTGCTTTCGGATTAGACAAATCCGAGTTGTCTTGCTCTCGGATTTGCTAAATCCGACTCTCGGTACCTCTCGGATTTGGCAAATCCAGGACATCTACTTCTGTCTACCTTATTTCTCTTCAAATTATTTTTGTCCAGATACTTCTTTTGATAATTTTTTAGGTAAAAAATTCACTACTTTGGCACTTTGATAGTTTATCTTAATCATTTAAACCTTAAGATAATGCTGAAATTACGCATGAAAAAGACGGCTACTGTCCCATTCATAACTATCATGCATCGTGAAGATTTTTTACGACCCCTCAAAAAAAAAATTTAAAAAAAAAATAATAAAAACTGTAACGCAGTTTGACCGTGACCCTTTTTCTTCGTGATTTGGTTGTTCTGAGTTCTTCTTTTGCGAGTAAATGATGTAGTTCGTGTGCCTGGAACGATCTCCGGTGGGTCAAGCCGAACGATTTTGTTGCTGTTGGGGTTATTAAATTAGTTGTCAAATCTATTTCGAATTCTCCAGCTCTATCCATTTCATGGAACTCCAAAGTGTTCTATTCGTCTTTGAAAATCAATAATGAATTCCTTCGTAGCTAGCTTTAGTTACGTACTCTCAAACCTAAGCAGCATTGTATGTATTATCAATTATTGAGAGCATACTCTCAAACAAACAAAAACAGTTAGTTTGAATTCTATAACTGTGTAAATTAGTATTATTTTTGAGAAAACCCCCATATCTGTGTACAATACAAATATCATTAACAACTTTATATGGCAAAAGATTTCATTAACATATTATGTGTTGTTGAACCGTTAATACATGTTAGATTTTTACACGTATACCTTTTTCTTTTTTTTTTAAGGATTCACTCCATGATATGGTTTTTGTTATGGTATATGGCGAACTTTTAAAAATTTAGGTATAATTAAATAGAATACATGTCTCTTTATTTTTTTTAACAAAAAAAGTTACACAGTTATAATAGAATATACTCCCTTTGTCCCAAAATTATTGTCCAATTTGAAATTTCACTTTTAACATAATTTGAACTATAAATGAAAACCCAAACTGGACAATAATTATGAGACGGAGGGAGTATATCGTTTTTGTTATTAGTGTTAGCGAATGCGTAATACAAAAAATTACAGACAGGTGAAAGTTTTCGAAGTTGGATTGGAACATGTAATGGAATAATAAGCAAATCCTCCCCCAACTTGATCAGAGTCGCTTGCCACTTTCGATCGATGTTGATGTTTAATAGTGGTTCTTATGATCGACGTTCAACAATAATGGATGTAATCGTGAAGAGATGCATGATTAAAGGATGGTTATGAAAATGACAATTCTCTCTAGCACCATATTTTCTTAAAAGTTACATAAAACATGGCGCAACTTGCAATAATGAAAACTGAAAAAAAAAAACAAAAGAGAATCAAGAGAAGCTCAAAAAGTATTATTGGACAAAATAATAAACGAAAAAAAGAAAAGAAGTGGATGAGGTTTTATAATGTAACCACTATTTTCAAAACTAGCTAGTCAGGATAGTATTAGTATAGTACATTAATAATTCAATAATGGCCACAACTCAATGTTATTCAGAGGACCTAGTCACTGTCTCGTTCCACAATAATCTCGCACATTCGCACTTTTTCCTGAGGTGCAAAATTTATATACTCTCTGTTTTAAAATAAAATTAAGAAAAAATATTTTGTTGATATAAAGAAAAATAAAATTATATGATGTTTTTGAGGCAAAGGAGTAGAATTTTTTTGTAATATTTTCAAGACTGTTGTGTGCATTTATCATTAACATAATATATTACATGTAGCTTTTATGTCATTTTCTTTAACATATGCACATGGTGCTTGAAACTATTATTTCGACTAATTTAAATTTAAATTAAATTAATTTTTTTCGAAAGATAAAATTCTCCCGACAAATATTTTAATTAAAAATTTTAATAACTATTGCATTAGAATTAAAAAAAAAATCATGTAGATTAATGAATGGCTACCAATTTGGTTTTCATACGGGCAAGTGGGCACCTGCCGCACCTCTACTTCAATAAATTAGACAGCTCAATGCTTGAATTTATTAAAGGTGACCATTAAAAAAGGACAGTAGAAAGAAAAAAGATTGCTCTTAAGGGGTTTCCTGGCTGATGCAATATGCAATATCTAAACAATGATTCAGTGAAATGATGTAAATTTCATAGAAAAAATGTCGTTGGTTATCAATAGTCCAATTAAGTCAATGACTTTTCCGGTCACCGAATCAAAAATTTATTTTCAGATTCTTTATAATAAAATCCTTACTAATTAGTCAAAGATATTTGTTTTACTGTGAAAAACTGTACAAATGGAGAGGATGATAACAAATTTTAACTTGTAAAAAGGGTTATCATATCAAATTAATACATGCCAATCTCAAGGAATATACTTTTAACTTTTTCCTTAACAAATACTTTTTCATTTTTTGAGAAACTATTCGTGTCATTCATATTTTTAATTCATACAATTTATTTCTTTTACTCCCTCTGTTCCAAAATTATTGTCTTGATTGAGATTTCACTTTTAGTACAATTTGAACCAAACATGAAAAAATAAATTAGACAATAATTTCGGGTCGGAAGAAGTATCATTTTATCTCGTGATACAATAACGCTATATTTATGATATGAGTAATGATACATAACTCACCTAATTCATCTCACCATTGTATCTCACCTTACATGACATTTAATTATTGGTTAAAATTTCATAAGTGAATTTAATTATTTTTATTATATGAATAGACTTTTTGAGCATTTTTATATCTAAGATTTTAAAATAAATAGACCCTAATCCCAAAATTGGTAAACCTTAAGGGAAAAATTGTAATAAATGCAAATGATTAATCAATTCAACCAATATTGATAAGAAATATAATATTTAAATTAAATTATTTAGATGTAGTCTATGAAATAATGCATCAAGTGTAAGAAATTCTTATCCAATTATTGACATGTAAGGCGAGATATAAGAATGAGATGAATATCATTTCCCTTATGGAGTATATTAAAGGATGTAATATATCTACTAACGCTTACCGTCTTCTCCCATCTTTCTCTAACTCGAAAATACCTCCATCTTTTTCCATCTTCCTACGGTGGGAGAGGATGGAAAATTGTTTAGAATCGTCTTTTCTTAGTTCAATGAGAACAAAAATTATTGGGTGTAATTTATCAGGTTTTGTATTTTCGTAGGTTGTGAATTTCACTAATTTATGTCTTATATGCTGTGGAGTTTGTCTTTTAATATGCTAATCTATTATTTGTTAGATGTCAAATACTTATGGGTTTGTTAATTCTGATTCAAGAAGTTATAAATCACCATACTTCTATTTTCAAAATTTGTGGTTCGAGATTTGATTTAGGGTTTTTGAACCTAATCATGTATAGGTTACTCAATGAGTACATCAATATAAGATTAACTATATAGTAAGTACATTGTTTACATGTTAATTTTTTTAATCACTTATAAGTTATACTCTGGTCTTTTAACTGCAACTTTTCATTCTCAATCGTCATATGTAAAGATAATCTGTCACCAGAAACAAAAAATAGCTTCTTGGGAACAAGGTCATATGGTGAACTGAGAACTGCCTTATCAATACCAAATCAAAATACTCCCTCCCGTCTTTAATACAAGACATTTTAATTTTGTCATAGATTTAATCTATTACGCATTTTTAATTAATAAAAAAACTTTAAAAATATATTTTCACGTTCGTTGTATTCTCTTGATTATTATGGAACATTTTTAAGGTTTTTGTGTCTATTAAAAACACATACTAGTTTAAACTTAGACAAATCAAAATACCTTATATTAAGGACAGAAGGGAGTACGCAACTAATCCTAATTGATAATAGGGTAATTCTATTCCTTCTTAATTTAATTGGGGTTTTTTTATATAAATTTTCTGTAATCCCATTTGAAAAATGGTCCACTGCCAGAAGAAAAAGAGTGGTGCTCGTGTTCCCATAAGCAATAACATGGTAATGTGCATGCATCTGATGACCCTGTCTGGAAAATTGCAAAATCATCATACATCAAAAGACACCTTCCCCGGTAATTCCCCCAAGTTAACGGGAAAACCTGCCTCTTAAACATTATTATTACTAGTACTAATAATTTATTAGAGGAATTGATTCTAATGAGTATTTATTATCATTATTATACTAATTACATTTGCTGCATAGTGAGAAAAAGGAAACGGGAACGAAATTGCGTGTATCAGCATCAGAGTCAAATAAGGTTACGCGGATTTCAATAGACTACGATGATGTAGTTAAACGCTTATTTGCGGACCACAATGAAATCATAGCGTTATTCACTAAAGCAAGTAACGTATTATCATCATGTTATATGTACATGATGTTTTATCCCCCTTGATGTGGTCATATGGTATACTTCATTAGAGGATACTACGTCTATCTAATAATCTATTATAACATCTTCTTTCAATTAAGTGCACAATTTTTCTAGGTAATAATTAACATAATCATGATTAAGGCACGGGTAGATATGGAGATACTAGTGAAAAGAGAGAAACAAACAATAATAAAATTCCAAGCCCCTTCTTTTCAATTCAGATGTCCTCTTATTCTCACATTTTTTTTAACAGTAATAGAGATTAAAGTTAAATAACAATCACACGTTAGAGGTATTCTCAACGAATTCTAACAAAAAAAAAAACACAATCATTATTCAACGTGTTTCAAATAACCCTTAAAACATTTCAAACAATTAAACTTATGCATAAGGCAAAATTGAGTGAGTTGAGAGGCCTAAACCTCCCGTAAGCATAGATCCCAACGCCCCCTTATTCTCACATTTTCGCTCGCTGTTTAGCTTGTTTTCCTCTTTAGTGTGACTACGAGGCCTTTTTAGGTATGTTTAGATCAATTTTTAGTGTGTGTTTTAAGTTTTTTTTAATTGAAAATATCAAAAAAAAAAGGAATATTAGAAATTTAAAAAGTTATGTTGGGAATCAGGATGGAACAATGATTGATAAAAAAATTCTGAAAAAAACCTACTAAACAGCGAACTAATCAAAGCCTTATTTTTTTTCCTATTGTTTTGAACGTTAAATGTACGATGATACAGACCTATGAACTACTTTTTATATATTTTCCTACATTTTTTTTAATGAATCATGACTATATGACTATATGAGTGAGCATATTCAGAATAATTCCCAATCGATTTTATAGATTTCTTTCTTGATAAAAATAATTTTTTTTTCTGAAAACCTTTTAGTTTGTTATGTATGCTCGTGGAAAAATTTAAAAGCTATAAAACTGAAAATGTATCTGATGGAATATCTAAAGTGATTTTTTTTTCTTTCTCCGATTCTAATTATTTAATACAATTTAGAATTTCAATTTATTTTATAATTGTATTATATTCCACAAATAGGACTACAAGAAGAACACTATATTCTTAAAAAAAAAAATTTGTTTGTAACAAAATTTTTTTTTTTTTTTGTAATACAACAATTCATTTGGGGTGGCAATGTAAAATAGTACTTTCCAATGGATGAATTTTACTTTAGAGTATACCCCTCACAAAATTAATATAGTTTCTCGTCAGAACAAACCAGGTGGAAAGTTGACATTTCGTTGCGAGGAAGAGACCAATTTTCAATAAAAATATGGTTTCCTATCCTGAAGTTTTTATGTATTTTCTTATTTTTAAATAAGTTTATTATCACTATTAATTTTCCTTATTATATACTCATTATTACTCAAAGTGGGTTCTAGTTAATTAAAATACAGACATGATTGGATCGCTCTACAATAAATCCAACGGTCCACATCCAACCCCTCACTCCCTGCTTTTTGTCTTTCTTTTCGCCAGTCAATTCTGACGACTTCCAATCTTTTTGTCCACTTATAAATACATTTCTCCACACCCACACCAAATTTTTCTACTTTTTCCACACTCCCCAGAGAGAATCAGAGAAATTTTTTCCGAATTAGAAAAATAAAAAAATCCAGTCGAAATTATCTCATCATCATGTCATTTCTCGGTAGCTTGCCGTCTTCCGCCAAGCCACCCGGACCAGCCACCGCCGACGGCGGTGCTGCTGACCCATCACTCCCCCTGAAGAACCTCTCCGCTGTCCAAACCCGAATGGACACGCTCCAGAAATTCCTCTCCGTTTCAGTCCAGAGCAATACTTTGATTAGTAAAGACCATATGGATATGGTTTCCACTGAGATCGCTTCTGCTATTCACCAGATCATAGTCAACGGCGCCGCGCTTCTGGCGTGTGCTCAAACCCCCAATTTCGCCTCCGTTTCCTCTGTTCCCGAGTCAACCCGTGTAGATACTAGTGTAGTTTTGGTTGAGAAGGAGCTAGAGAAACTAATTGACCCGAAAATGGAAGCTGTGGAAGAAGAGATTGGAGATGATTACGAGATCTTGGAGCTCGATGCGGTGGAGCTTTTAGCTGAGCATGTTCATTTTTGTGAGATTTGCGGTAAAGGGTTCAAGAGGGATGCGAATTTGAGGATGCATATGAGGGCCCACGGGAATCAGTTCAAGACGCCGGAGGCGTTGGCTAAGCCGGAGAAATGTTCCGACGCTGGTCTAATCGGCGGTGGATTGATGAGGAAGACGAGGTTTTCTTGCCCTTATGTGGGCTGTAATCGGAATAAGCAGCATAAGAAGTTCAGGCCCTTGAAATCCGCGGTTTGTGTGAAGAATCATTTCAAGCGGAGCCATTGTCCCAAGATGTATTCTTGTAATAGGTGTAATAAGAAGAGTTTCTCGGTTCTGGCGGATTTGAAGAGCCATTTGAAGCATTGTGGGGAGACTAAATGGAAGTGTTCCTGTGGGACGAGCTTCTCGCGTAAGGATAAATTGTTTGGTCACATGGCTTTGTTTGAAGGGCATATGCCGGCGGTTGCGGAGGAGGAAGGTGGAGAGAAGGGGAAAGGGGTGGTGGTGACGGTGGAAGTTGATGATGATGATGATGAAGATTCGCATCCAGCTGTAAAGGAAACGGATATGGAAATGGAAATGGACGTGGATAATGGTTTCTTTGATGGATTGCTTGATGGATTTGGTTCCATGGAAAGTTATAGTTTCCAGGATCTACTGAGCAGCTCCTCCCCTAATGTTGTTCCTAACACTGAAATGGATGATGGGTTCTTCAACTTTTGACTGGTTCATTCCACTGCTAGAAGTACTTGTTCTTTTTGTTGTTGTTGTTGTTCATTACTTTCTTTTATTTAGCCTTTGTTTTTTGGTACAGATTTCGAATTCTTTGTAATAATAAAGTTAGGCCCTTTTTGTTATTTGTTTCTTTGTCCAATTTAAGCAGCTGCATATTTCCTTGTTTTGTCATCCTGTTTCTTGTTCTCCTTCTCTGTTCCTTTTCATATGGGTTCATATCACTTTGATGCCTGAGTATGTGGAATCATTTTTTCATAGCATAGATTTTGTCAACTGTTGGCACTCGACATGTTGAGAACTGAGAAGTGGTGATGGATTTGGTTTTGGATTCAGGGTTAGGCACGGAACTCTGCCAATGTATGAGGATTCTTATGAAGCAAATAACAAAGTGTGGTGGTTATTGTGGTTGAATTCAGGTTGATTGTTCTCTATGTTGAGAACTGATCAAAATGATGATGATTTCGTACTTTCTTCATACCAGTAAAACACATAATCATCATCATAAAGGTAGGTAGCAACTCAAACAAGGATTGCAATTTCTCCACCACCCATGGCTTTTGCAGGTTCTATATGTTCTGTTGGTTTTAGATTTGAGCATTATCAGAAACAAAGCATTTCCTGAATAATTCATGTCGGTGAAGGTGATTATGAAAATGCAACCTGGGAAGAAGTAGATGGAGGAGACTTTGGTGGTTCAAATGGGAATTTTCCGTTATGAGAGTACTAATCCAATGAATATAGATGCAGTCTTGATCTTGAAGATTTACCACATTTCCACATTCTTTCACTTTTTTGCGGAACTTTTGTAATCAGGTTCCTGCGCTGTAGCTAGTTGTCTGCTTTTTGGAGTTGAAAAAGGCCGAATTGAGAGTTTAATTAGTCCAACAATTAGGCATATTATTATATGTTTACAAGCCGTCAATCTATGTGATTTGGTGGGATTCAAAAGACTAATTTCACAATTCCGCAATCCTCAGCCATAGCCAGACTACAATACGTTGGGACAAGTCTAGTCAGAAAACTGGAAACAAAGTTCACACCACATCTGAAACTTATACAAGTCAAAGTTACACAACAGGACTTGCACCGAACTTTGTTGTGAGAGTTTTACCTCTCCGAAGAAATATACCCGAATCAATACAATTCCGAAAAGCATAAAATTAATGAATCTGCTACTCATATGTTGTGTTCTCTTCATTAAACATATTTCTGGTTGAATCACGGAACAAAAGTAAACTATATGACCTCAATGGGTTTCGTGGACGTCAGAGTTTGTTCTTAAGATAAGGATGATGATTGATGATGTTGCGCTTTTCTTCATTTGGAAACCTCCAAAAGTACAGTGGCTAAGATTAAAGAGATAAGGGATAGCTTTTTTTGGGGGGGTGGGGGGCGATTGTATATGGAGAAAAAGAAAGTAACATTAGGCTACAATTCAACCCGAATCTCAACTAGATATTGCCCTTCCTCAACATCACCTTTCCTGTCCCCAGAACAGAGGAATAATATACTGTTGAAACTTGTCCAGAACTTTAGCCCACACTCAGTTGTTGATTTTTTGCTTTAACAATTGATCATGAATTCATGATATCAAAATGTCATCAGAACTGTTCCATAAAAGCACCAACATATAGAATTCAGTGAATATTATGCTTCCAAATCATATTTATGATCAAATTATCATGATATAAGCAGCCCTTAAAGAGATGCCCTTTAGCTGTAATCCGTTGCTTTCTTGCGTTTGATTAAATTGCGACGAGACTGTTAGTATTATGGTCCGAATCGGCTCAATATTTGGTTTTTATGATAATGGCAGTGGGACGTGACAAAGGTGAAGATTCTTCATTTGATCATAAGCTGAAAAACACAAAAACACAAAAAAATCTGCTGTGTCATTTTGAATGCTGTAAACAGGAAAATTTTGCTGTGAAGAAGGTCTTTTTAAAGAATAATGTCTGATTAATATCGCATTACAGACTACTACAAAAATCAAAAACATATATAATGGCTGTGAAGTGATTTTTACCCAGGCAATTTGGGTACCATAATATCGCGCTCCACATTCAGAGCGATTCGAGACGAATCAGGCGATTCTCCATCAATCACAACTTCGAGGAAATCATTTCCCATATCTTGCTGTTCTTTGTAAATTTCCCTGGCAGAACTCGAGGCTCGGTCACCCTCATGCATCTCTATCTTTTTCAAGGTTGTAATGTAACCTAAACAGGATGGAATCCCAACAAGCCGGGTACATTTCATCAGTATAAGCTGTTCAAGGCTAGGGAATGGATCATCTTCGACACTCCATTCTTCAATGTCCGAGTGATCGAGTTCCAAGTACTTGAGCTTCAAGAACTCGCCGTCTTCCACATGCCAACTTTCTCCTGAAAATGCACTCCATCTCAACTTGAGCACCTCCAGATTAGGCAACTCCTTCATCATTGAGATTTCACTCCAGGGAAAGTAGAAGCTGCCCAGTGTCAATTTTTTGAGGCTACACGGAAAAGCTAGGAATCTATTCCATTTCACGCTACGCCACGGCCTTCCACATTCAGTGATTCGAGATGAGTCAGGCCACTAAATTCTGGAAACCTATAATCAAGATTACTGATACCAGGGAAAAAACACTTTAGCTTGCGAAGGTTTGGCAACCTTCTTAATAATGCATCCGTTTCCTTTCCCCATTCAAGAAATGGAGCTGACAAAATTTCCAGATGCTCTCACTGACTGTATTCGTCATCTTTAAGGCCATGTGGTAATAGCAACCAAGGACTACTTACTAGCCTCAATTTTTTCATCTCCCAAAAGGTTCTTGGCAATGAAAATCCCAGAGCTGACAGACATTTCAGGATTAAGATTTCCAGGTTCCATAGATCACCAATGGACGGTGAAATTTCTGCCATTGCAAGAAATGGTCAGGTATCTCAAATTAACCATTAATGTTACCTCTTCAGGAAAAGGGCCATCAATAACAATGCTCTCCAAGTCCAACACATTTAGAAGTCTAAAGCTGTTAAAAATGGTCGAAAGACATGCATTCGTGTACCATTGACCACGAATGAGAACTAGAGACCGGATGAATGGACTTGTAGATTTGATATCAACAAACTTGGTCCGGTGTGCATCAATGCACAGGCCAACATAGTTCTCTGAGTTTCCGGGATTTTGGGAAGAACCAGAAGCAACTACATCATTGTCATTCACCCAAGGTAGAATGTTTTCATCTCTAGTCTTCGCCTGGCAGAGATCATGTAGCAGATCATGAACATGACATGTCTTGATACCGCCTGTGGTACTTCTCGTTTCAACAATTACTAAACTTCGACTGATTAGATCAGACAAGTACTCCTCAGCCACTTTATCATTTCTTCCATCATTTCCTGATATCATTCCTTCTGCAATCCACAAACTTAACAGCTTTTTGGCTTTGACAACCTTATCCTCAAGAAATGCTCCAAAATAGAGGAAGCAAGGTTTCAAGTTATCAGGTAAATGGATGTAGCTTAGTTCAAGCACATCCATGAACTCTTCACTGAGAGCTTGTGAACTTGTACCACATTCAATATGCTTCCAGAATTCTCTGTCCTTTCCTGCTAGAATACCCGCAACTAAAACCACTGAAAGAGGCAACCCTTTACAATTTTTCGCAATATGTTTAGCTATATTTGATAGTTCTTCATCAAGAGGGAAGCCATGGTGACGCGATAGTTTCCCTTCCAATAAATCCCAACTCTCCCCATCAGAAAGTGGCCGAAGAGGATGGATACTGCTATTGATCGGCTTTGCTTGTGACACAAAATTATGAATCCGGCTAGTGAAAATAATCCGACTTCCATTGTTGTCATCAGGAAATGATTGCTTTATGCACTCCCATGCCTCAACATTCCAAATGTCATCCTGAACAATGAGATACCTAAGCTGCCTCGGTTTTACAGACAAATCATCATCAGCTAATTCAGGGTGTCATTTGATCATTGTCCCAACCAAGAATAGAGTGATGGCAATTTTCTCTGTTACCATAACCAAAAGTGTGTCGCAAGTTGTTCATCATGCCCTAAAATCTTTCATGTAATAAAAAGAAAAAGAAAAAGAAAAGTGTTTACTGGTCCTTTTTCTATAACACAGCTTTCAAAGGATCTGAAGTCACTCATTCTACAACCTCTGTATTACAAAAGTTTAATTGTTACGCAACTTTACCCAATGGGTTGGTGTCGGAACAACAGTTCCCTTGGCCTCTAGGATTTTCATCTTTAGTTCTTCAAGCTTAGATTCTATCTCAAAGACTGTCTTTTGCACATTTATCAGAGCTGGCTTTTCTTCTAATTCGTGAAATTTGAGCATTCGGTGGCTAATCAATCCTCAGTATCCATCTTTTTAAATTCCTGCAGCATGCACATTAAACCCCGATAAGCTAACGCTTTGGCTCTTTGTTGACCGTAATTTAACTGAAAAAAAAATCCTAATTCTATTTCACACTTCATACCTGCAATAACAGTGTGATAATTTTAATACATTAGCCCCATTGATCACCTGTGCATCCGACAAAAAAATACAGAAAAACCCATTATCTATCATTTTGAGAAGAGTTCAACAAGAAAAAAATAGATATATGCAGGTCAATTGATGGGAAAGAGACTTGAATTTGTTGCTCGTAAACGAGAAGTGACAATGCAGCTTAGATAAGAATTTGCATTGGAAATCTTAAACTACTTTACCTCCATAACCTTTCGAATTGCATTTAAAATAAAGACAGTACTTATTGGATGATTGTCATGAGCCGCACCATCAGGTTCCTGTAGGCGATGACAGCAAAAAGGATTACTTAACGAGCTGTCTAATATTATAGAGTCGATTGCGTATATAATGTTCTCAGGAAAAAGAATGGAACAGGGAATTTTTCGTAATTAAGAAAGCTAAGAGTTCAACATGACGCATAAAAATCACTTGAACTGCAAGGATTGTGATTTTTCCGACGAATACATATATTTTTTTCAGAATGGATACAGCGATCAGATTCAATCCACCACGTAAAATAAAAGTGCTTACCTCAATGACACCACCTGCAATCCTTAGCCTATAATGTTCTTGAGCGGTAACACTGCTCAGCTTTTCAGCTTCCTGTTCTTAAGTTGAGATATGATAATGTAAGTAAGCTTCCTCAGAGACCAGTAAACCCTTGACAAGTTACAAAAGTACCTCTCGAGCTGGGGATAATTTTTGCATCTTCTCAGTGCACCCTTCCAAACTAGTTGAATAGATAATAAACAAACTGAGAGATGTTCAAGTATATATAATTTACTGAATGAGACTTCCATAAGAATGAAACTTAACCCAGCCACACAACGTATTAAGATTACTTCAGAATCATGGTCTCCACAGTGCTTTATCAATCCAGAGATACATAGGTGACTTTTTCTAATCGATACCATAGGCAATTTGAGCTAGTTCTAAATAACTATCTTTTCTGATATTGATATGGCTATAATAACAAAGAGGAACAAAAATAGCAGTGGTAGAACCAGCTTATGATAATGGTGGTGGTTGGGGGGAGGGGGCTGGGTTTGCATTAAACCGGTACTGAAGAGAGAATTTTTTTTTTCCGTTGGTTTATCAAGGAATAAATAAATATTCAATGTAAACTATATTAACAATATCTTACACTGTTTTTTCCCATAATTAATATTCATAATTAACTCCGTATAAAATCTTCGTATTATTAAATAAAAAAAAAATATGAAACTCATTTTGGAGCATGCTATAAAACAGTTTCATTTCATAACGATAAATCCCTCCATAAGAAAAAATTAGTCCAAGTGAGTTTTTTTTTTTCTGTAAGGAAAGATTAATAATAGCAATATAATAGTTTCTGTTAAACTCGATTTAGAAAGAATGTGAATAACATTGTTTAAAATTGATAGCACAAAGACATGATTTTGCAATACTTTCTAACTCTTTAAAAATTGTAGACCTCAAGTTCTAAGTTTTAAATGATGTCGGTATTTTATACAATATCATTATAGATATAGTACTAACTTTGCAATTGCAAATACTCTAAATTTGGGGTTGTGTTCTTCGCCGTTGCCACTGATTAAAAAATTGAACCCCAACCCCTAACGGCTGGGAGTTATTATTCCGTAAGTCCCCTCACTCTGTAATCGGGAGGTGGAGAGTGACGAACAAAGCCACCGAAGTCTCAGACCAGAAGCACACCCTGAGCTTCTTCCGCCGACCGAGAGGCTTGAGACCCCTTAGGGTTTGTTTAATAACATCACTTAATATTTAAAATTATTTTATTTTAAGCAATTTTTTAACATCTTTGATGATAAAAAATGAACATCTTAATGAATTAAGTGGTGCTAAAATTACAGTAAAAACATTAACAATAAAAGTATCTATTACTTATTCCTTAACTGTTTAATGAATTTAATATTTATAATTTAATATTAAGTATTCAGAATTAAGCAACTAATTTTTATCAAATAGATACTTAGTGGTTCCGCCACTGAAAAATAGGACTTTTTTAAAATCCTGACAATTGGCTTTATGAGCTAGTTCAAAACAAATATGTCATTCGATGTTGATATAGGCTACAATAACAGAGAGAGGAAAATTGGGAAAAGAGATGAATAGAGATGTGGAAGTATGATCACCTCGTAACATGAAATGCAGAGGTTTCCATCATTAGTAATTTGTTGGCACAAGCCATTGTAAAGTGGTTAATACATGAATCTCACAAGTATTTTTGAAGGGTTATAAATGAATGGATTGATAAATGGTTTTTGAAGCCCTTGAATTTCCAGACAAAATTTTTATAAAGTATATTTTACGATGTAGTAGAGCAGTCGTAGAGACCTCCTGTAACTCTGTCAACCAAATTTTCCACACAATTCTACACGGCTTTAGATTGCTCTCTAGAATGTATACATATATACTAGTAGAGTTTGGAATGTAATTTCCACTTGCTTCTTTCTTCGTCAGTAAAATTCAAATGATAAGTTTGTTGTGGCATCTAAAATCATCACGGGAACAATATGCACTCCCTGAATCATAACTCTTTGCGTATGGTCTTGAGATCAGAAACATCACCTGGCCTTCAACTCATCCCCTTGTTCTTCATTATTCCCAATGTCGTCATGTGAATTCTCTCACCTGTTCTCTTCTCCTATATTATTCCCTTTAAATAACTTTGCTAATTTCAGCCTTCTTAATTTAGATGTGGAATTCTTTTTATGCATGTGCGCCAAATAAAGCTTGTTATAATGAGTATTACACATCATGTCAAATCCAATTCCAAGAAGGACAAGAGTAGTTTGAACTAATGGTAGATTGATAAAATGAAGGAAAACCACACTTCTTACTTCCTAACACCAATTTTATGACATTTCTAAATCAATTCCATACTTCAACACTCCCATTCACGCTTACACAATTGCAGCCACACCGGTTTGATTTATCATTCTCCCAACCAAGAATAGTGTGATGGTCAATTTTCTGTGTTACGGCCATAACCAAGAGTGTTTCCCAATTTCAAATCTTTCATGTAAATAAAAAGAAAGAAAAAGTGTCTACTGGTCCTTCATTATTCAATAACACACCTTTCAAAGGATCAGATGCATACAAGTATGCTTGTTACGCAACACTGATTCTATAACCACCGTATTACAAAAATTTAATTGTTACGAAAATTTACCCAATGGGTTGGTGTCGGAACAACGATTCCTTTGGCCTTTATGATTTTCATCTTTAGTTCTTCAAGCTGAGATTCTATCTCAACAGCTGTCTTTTGCACATTTATCAGAGCTGGCTTTTCTCCTAATTCGTGAAATTTGAGCATACGGTGGCTAATCAACTCTGCAGCATCCATTTGTTTTAATTCCTGCAGCATGCACATAAAACTCCGATAAGCTAATGCTTTGGCTGTTTGTTGACCATAATTTAACTGCAAAAAAAATTCCTAATTTTATTTTACACTTCCTAATTGCACTAACAGTGTGATAATTTTAGAACATTAGCCTCATTGATCACCAAGTAAATCCGACACCAAAATACAGAAGAACCCTTTATCTATCTTTTTTAGAGCAGATTAATAAGAAAAAAATAGATATATGTGGTCAATTGATGAGAAAGAGACTTGAATTTGTTGCTGGTAAACGAGGGGTGACAATGCAACTCAGATAAGAATTTGTATTGGAAATCTTTGTTGGGGTAATGCTCAAAAATGCTAAATCAATTAACAAATAAAATACTTGAGTCGTGCAAATTGCACTGTCCTAAAAAAATTATTTCGATGTAACGAAATGTTCCCCCAAGATAAAACAAGCTTTCCTCTTATAGATCCCACAAGAACTAACAAGTATATTATAGATCCAATATTTATTAAGATTGAAAGTAGAAAAGAAAGACTTTAAAGAGAACTTGCTTGAGGGATTTTTGGGATTTTAGAAAAGTGAGAAACAAATGTTTTCTTTGTTTTGGTGTAGTTTTTTTTTAAAACTTTTCCTACGTAGTATTTGTAGGACAAAAACTAAGAATGCAGCATTAGTTTTGTTTGCTAAATTAATAAGCCTATTCCATTAAAAACTCAAAGATAACACTTTAAATTCTTTTAAAGCAACGATTTTGAAAAATAACAAAAGCTCATCAGCTTAGCCTTTAGAATCACAAACCGCAACATTAGTATAATACTTTCAATAGGCTTTCAAGAGTTAATGAACTTAATAAGCCTTAATGCAACCAATCTAATCTTTTGAAATAAATAAAGCGAAAATGCCAACAATCTTAATTAGTTTACCTTCATAACCTTTCGAATTGACATTAAAATAAAGAGAGAACTTATTAAAGGATTGTAATGAGCCCCACCATGAGCTTCCTGTAGGCAATGACAGCAAAAGGATAAATCAACCAGTTGTCCTTGTCTACATATTACAGATTCGATTGCGTATATCATGTTCTTAGGATAAAGAATGGAATAGGGGAAGAAAAACTAAGATTGAAAGTTGACGTTTATTTTTCATAATTAAGAAAGCTAAGAGTACAACATGAGGCATAAAAATCACTTTAACTGCAAGGATAATGATTTTTCCAATTCCCTTACCACAATTAATACATTTTTTTTTTCAGAATGGATACAGCAAGCAGATTCAATCCACCACATAAAATAAAAGTGCTTACCTCAATGACACCACCTGCAATCCTAAGCCTATAATGTTCTGGAGTGGTAACATTGCTCAACATTTCAGCTTCCTGTTCATAAATTGAGATATGATAATGTAAGTAAGCTTCCTCAGAACCAGTAAACCCTTGACAAGTTACAAAAGTACCTCTCGAGCTCCTGAGGATAATTTTTGCATCATCTCACTGCACGCTTCCAAACTGTTGAATAGATAATAAACAAACTAAGAGATGTTCAGGAACATGTAATTTACTGAATGAGACTTGCATAAGAATGAAAATTAACCCAGCACACACATCGTATTATGACTACATCAGAATCATGGTCTCCAAAGTGCTTTATCAATCCAGACACAAATAGTGACTTTTTCTAATCCATACCATTGGCAATTTGAGCTAGCTAGTTCTAAATAACTATGTTTTCTGATATTGATAATGGCTATAATAACAAAAAGGAACAAAAATAGCAGTGGCGGAACTAGGTTTTGATAACCTGGGGTGGAGGGGGGCTGGGTATGCATTAAACCGGCACTAAAGAGAGAATTTTTTCCCGCTGGTTTATCAAGAAATAAATAAATATTCAATGTAAACTATATTAACAATATCTTAAAATGTTTTTCTTTTTGTAAAATCTTCATATTATTAAACAAAAACTATATACAACTCATTTTGAAGCATGCTATAAAACATTTTCATTTCATGACTATAAATTCCTCCATAAGAGAAAATTAGTACACGTGAGTTTTTTATGTAAGGAAAAATTAATAATAGCACTAAATTAGTTTATGTTAAACTCAATTTTCAAAGAACATAAATAACATTGTTTATAACTGATAGTACAAAGACTTAGATTTTGCATTATTTCAACTATTTAAAAGTTTTAAACCTCAAATTCTAAGTTTTAAATGATATAGGTATTTTATACAATATCATTATAGACATAGCACTAACTTTGTGATTGTAAACTAAAATTGGGGTTGTCTTATTCGTTCATTCCACCGCTGCAACATTCCACCGCTGCCGCTGATTAAAAAAAATTGAACTCCGGCCCCTAACGGCTGGGATTTTATTATTCCGAAAGCCCCTTCACTCTGTAATTGGGGGGCTGAGAGTGGCAAATGGAGCCACCAAAGTCTCAGACCAGAAGCATGCCTTGAGCTTCATTGGCCGGCCAGGGGGCTCGAGACCTCCGAGCCCCTTAGGAATTGTTTGATAATATCATTTAATGCTTAAATTTATTTTATTAAGCAATTTTTCATTTTAGCATGTTTGATAATAAAAAATAAACATCTTAATGAATTAAGTGATGTAGAAACCGCAATACAAAGAGTATAATAAAAGTTAATTTTGTTTATTCCGTAACTGCTTAATAAATTTAGCATTTCTAATTCGATATTAAGTATTCAGAACTAAATACTAATTTTTATTAGACAAACTCTTAGTGGTTCCCATTGAAAAATAGGGACTTTTTAAATCCTGACAATAGGTTATGTGAGCTAGTACAAAACAAATATGTCATCCGATGATGATAAAGGCTACAATAACAAAGACGAAAATTGAGAAAAGAGATTAATAGAGATGTGGAAGTATCACCTCCTAACATGAAATGCAGAGTTTTCCATCATTAGTAATTTGTTGGCACAAGCCATTGCAAGAACACCACCTGAACCACCTTCTCCAGTCACTATGGTTATAATAGGAACTTTCAAGCCAAACATTACCCTCAAGTCATGTGTTATTACTTCTTCCTGTAGGATAAAACTTAAATTAGAATAAGGGAACTATTGCCCATCAAATATAAATAATAGAGATCCTATGTTCAAAGAACAAGAGCGCAGCAACTGGGTTCACCTGTCCAAGTTCCTCGGATTCTAAACCAGGAAATGCACTTGTGGTGTCAACAAAATTGACAATGGGGAAACCATAACGTTCAGCATATTTCATCATTAGCAAAGCCCTTTTGTAGCTGCAAAAGAGTCAGCAACAATCTGTATGTTACGACACTTAGTGTTTTAACTGAGAAAAAATAAAGTGAGGTACAACATTGATTAAAATCCTTGAGAGCAGAAGCTCTGTATAACCCCCACTTGTGAAAAGAACAAAATATTTTTTGAGGAACAAATCAAACTGAACGACCTTTTTTCTAACATTGACACCAACTAGAGGCAAAAACTAAAAGAAGAAATATGCAGAACAAGCGCAGATGCAGTCGTAAGGATTGATCTTTTTATCTTTCTAGAACATGAATGTGAAGTTTACCAACGTGGAGTCGGGATGGCAACAGTATGCTTAATATTCTTCTCCTTTTTGTTCCTACGATTCTTTTTCTTCCTCTTTTCTTGTTGGGAAGTAGTCATGTTACTAGCAGCTTTATGATGATAACCAATGAACACGTAGTGTTGACCACGGAAGATTGTCAAAACAGTCATAATGGCTGGATAAAGTTCACCTCTGATCATCCCGAGAGCTGTCAGGATTGGGGGATCATTAGCTTCATCTCCGAGGTCTACCTGCTTGGTGAGTGATCATTGTTGAAAATGCATAGAGGACTTGGGGGTACTTGCAGACACCAAACATAACAAAAACAAAAATCAAAAGAAAGATGGTAAGGTAGATAGTATACTCTGTATGGAACCATAGAAAGGTGATCAACAAACGTGGGCCTATTTGGATGTGTAGCAAAGCTCAAGCGCTGAATTGGCGTCATTGCGGCATTAAAACGTCTCTCAGCCTGAAAGTACACACAAAGCCAACAATGTTATTAGGTGTTAATAAACTAATTAATCCAAGTAAAATGAAGAATCAGGGTGAGTAAAGAGTAAAATGATTTATCTCGGAAATTCCTCTCTCTGATTTTCATACACGTGAATATTGCATTTCAGAACAAAAATAAAATATATTGATTCAATGAAAAAGAGGGTTTAGAAAATATCCAATTTTTTTTTTTTTTACCCTGCGGATCTTCCCGTCCAATTCATGGAGTGGCCCAGGAAAGGACTCCATCGGATCCCGTTCCTCATCCGAAGCAGGGTCATCCCAAGTCTCAAAGTAGTGTAGATACTTCTTAAAAGGGTCTTCGTCGTCATCATCATCATCATCACCATGTTTCTTAATCATTGCAGTTGCAGTTGTTCCTTCCACATTTGTGATCCGAACCCTACCGCAACTTTTCTTCTTACACAATAACACTCTCAAAACAATGCTATTCTCTTCTCCCCTCCGTCTTGCACTTGTCGCCGCCGCGGCGGCGGTGGCGGCGACGGTGGCGGTGATTACAGATAAGGTATTAGTAGTCATCATCATCATCATCTCTAATCGCAGTAATTATCATCATTTCTTTGTTCCCCCCGTTGGTTTTTGTAACTTTTATTATGGGTAGGAAAGTGATGCGGCAGCCCTAGTGCAAAATGATTTACGGTTTTTCATTATTGTTTTTTAAAATATAAATAAATATTGGGAAAATTAGTATTAGTCTTCCGAAGCATAGAGGCCGATTTTTTTTTTTTTAAAAAAAAATAAAAAATAAAAAATTTCACGGGCTTTCATACCCCACTACAAGTATTAGTGTCTTGTAACTAGATTTCGGCCTTACAACAATAACATATTCAGTACATTCTCAACACGGTTAACATCTTGGGGGTGGAGATGTACGCCGTCTTACCCGTGTAAAATGTACAGAGAGGCTGTTTAAGTACCGCAACGCAATATGCATTGGCGCATTGGTGTATTGATTTCTGACATCGTCACCAAAATTGAGAAGTCATGAAATTTAAATGAATCATTTTGATCTAATCTATTAATACAAAACTGAAAGAATTGTCAATGATGACTCGTCCGTCTCTATTTGCAATGAATGATCGGTCTCTCTTATTGTACCCAAAAAAAATATTCTCCCTAAAGTCTAGGCGCTGCGAGTTTGCACATATTCAAAAGTTGATAGTCTTTAGTAAGTATCAATTTGTATTTGTTGTTAGTGTTTAGTACAATTTGTTGTAGATGGTTCGTGAATCAATGATAATATACTTTGCTGATGGGATCTATACATCTAAAAACATTACTTTGTTGATGAATCAATCACAAATTTTGGACGAATTTTACGTTGTTGATGAGATCTATACATCTAAAAATATTATGTTGTTGATGAATCAATGACAGATTTTGGAGGAATTTTTTTTCATGGGCTTGGTATTTTATTTCTGGGTTCGATGAATGATTTTCTTACCTAGAAGATGGGACTTTGCCTTTTAAATTTGGAGGCAAGTTTCTTTGGTATGCACCTCACAATGGGTTCCGCAATCAGCTGCCAAGGGATGCCCTGGTGAGTTTGAGATTTCTCTGGATCCATGTGTCGGATTTACAATGGATTAACTTGCTTTCTTGTACACGTTTTCCTTGTTATGATCTATGTTCTTGACCTAGTTCTTCCCGTGAAATTTTCCCCATTGTGATTGGTATCTTTACCATTTTAATTCCTTTCATGGAACATGACATGCTTTATTGTTTCCATTCCCCATGCTTTATTGTTGCCAAGGGATGCACTCACAGGATTCAGCCATTTGTATTATTGAATCACTTTGATCATTGAGTTATATAAGTTTTATACCTGCTCGTCATGTATCCAGCAGAATGTGTATTCTAGGATTCCAAATAGCTGCACTTGTAGCAGTTTGTAAATAATACACTTCTTTTTTTTTTTTTTGAGAGAGGTACTTGTATATTAATTAAGAAGTACCTGACCTATTATATCGCATTATATGGAATGCTAAATTATGAACTTTTACAACATCCTGTCTACTCACTTTAATCAGTGAGTAAGACTGAAATAAGGAAATACTAGTTACTAACAAAGAAACTACCTCCTGGGCCTGAGAAGGTATTAAAGCAGACCGTAAATCTCCAGTCAGAGCTTCACGGTCCGTATAAACTTGAAGTCAAGTGATCCCGAAATGTAACGCCTCTTTCAATGCCAAGAGACAAGTCATTGCCTCGGCTTGAAAAGGAGAAAGCACACTTAGGTCCACCACTTTGATTTGCATCACCATACCATGATGTGATAGTATCTTCCAAGCACCAGCCGCTTTGCGTGTTTGATGGCTAAACAATCAATCAAAAATGACTAAGGACTCAGTCGGACCCCTCTATGGTAGTGAAGATTGTATGTTGGGAGAAGGTCGTCCAACTATCAGTCTGCCAAGGCTTTGCTTGTGGAGAGTGACTTCATTTTGGATAAGTCTCCAAGATACCGCCGGATCATGAGATTGGTTTCTCCAAATTTTATCATTCCTTTCCAGCCAGATCCTCTAGCTAATGATCAGAAACAAATCAAACTCCTCTTTAGCTGGATGAGACTGAGTCCACTGAATGAACCATTAATGCAAGAAATCATATGTAGAATTGAATATCGAGCCAAACTGAGGAAAAACCAAGGCCCAGATGGCCCGAGAGGCTTCACACTTAAGGAACAAGTGTAAGCTATCCTCCTCCTGCCTACCACATCTGGGGCATAATGAGTCCACTTGAACTCCCCTTTTGCATAGTTCTGACCGAGTAGAAAGAGCATTGAGTATTGCTCTCCAGAAGAGAAACTTTTGCTTAGGTTGAACTCTAGAATTTCATAGTCGTTTCCAAGCTAATTTCTCTGCATTCTGAGTTGCTGGACTTGGTACGGGTTGTGGCAGGAGGGCGTTAATGGCCAATTGATATGGAGCTTATCCTCTTGATGTAGTCTTGCCGGATCTATAAAGATCCCAGTAATGTGGGAGATAATATGATCCAGAAAGAAATTCTTAAGAGCCCGAATCTTCCATTGACCATTTGGATGAATAAAACGGTCCACAGTCAAGTTGGACATAACTGAAATGGAATGAACTCCAATCGGATTCTGTGTATCAGGAATCCAGTTTACTGATATAGGGATATCCTTGCCTGAGATTACCTTCCATTTAGTATGATTCTGCAGAAGTTCAGCTCCCCACATGATACTCTTGAAACCCCAGGAGGAAGTTTTGGGAGGTTGTACCAGAGGAAAAGTGCCATTGTTACAATATTTGGCACAAAAAAGTCTAGCCAGGAGAGATTGGGGTTGAGAGATTAACTTCCATGCATGTTTGGCTAAGAGTGCTTGGTTGAATTCTTTTGTAGCTTTGAGACCCAAACCACCAAGAAAAGGAGATTTTGTAATTTTCTTCCATACTCTCTAATGAATTTTATGTTCCTATTTATCTCCCTTCCAAATAAAATTACCCATAATCTGGTCAGCCTTATGCAAGGTGTGAGCAAGAAGCTTGAATACTCTCATTGGGTACACCAACATTGAGGACAAGGTGGATTTGTCCAAGGTGACTCGACCAGGTAATGATAGAAGTTTGGTCTTCCAGGAAGCAAATTTGCTGCTGATTTTTGAAGTGAATTCCTTGAAGATAGTCGTCTTCTTCTCCTTGAAATCAAGACTCATTCCCAAATATTTACTTTGAAATTGTCCCGTAGGGATCTTGAGAATGGAATGAATGAAGGTCTTCATTTCCGGGCTTGTATTAGCACTAGTGAGAATTGAGGATTTGTGGAAATTTATGCGCTGGCCAGAGAAGCTAGTGTAGTTTTCCAGTAATCCTGCTAAAGCTAAAACAGAAGACTCCTTGCTCTCAATGAAAAAGAGACTATCATCTGCATACATGAGATGACTCACCCTGGGTGCATGGCGGCTGATTTTCACTCTTAAACCTAGAAAGTTGTGGATCTCTGATGTAATGGCAGAAGAGAGGACCTGCTGGCAAAGGATAAACAAGTATGGAGACAAAGGACATCCTTGTCTCAATCCTTTATTTGGAGAGAAGGGTGGTAAACTTTCGCCATTTAATTTGAGGGAATAGGAGCCTGAAGTCACACTGTGCATGATCAAAGAAATTAGTCTAGGAGAAAAGTTCGCCTTGTGAAGGATAACCTGTAAGAAAGACCAAGAGACTCGATCATAGGCCTTACTCATATCCAGTTTGATGGCAGCCAAACCTGTCTCACCTGTTTGCTTCCTTATGCATTCAATGACCTCATGAGCAATAAGAATGTTCTCGCTGATGTTTCTGCCTAGAATAAATCCATTCTGGTTCTCATCAATAAGATCATTCATAACATGTTTGAGATGATTTGCAATCATCTTTGCTATGTTCTTATACTTGACATTACATAGACTGATTGGACGGAAGTCATTTGGGTTCGTCGGAGTAGACGTCTTAGGAATGAGGGCCAAATGAGTCAGGTTCCATTCTGGAGGAAAATACATAGTATTGAAAGCATCCAGAATTGAGGATTGGACATCTGAACCAATGATGCTCTGGTAATGTTGATAGAATCCCGCTGGCATCCCATCAGGTCCAGGAGACTTCTAAGGAGACATTTGCTTGAGGGCAGACCACACTTCTGACACTGTAAATGGAGCATCTAACTGAGCTGCTTGATCTGACGTCAAAGATTCACTCACATTTGCAAGAAGACTGGTGAAGAATGAGGAAGACTGAGAATTCTGAGAGCTTGATTCCACTGACATGTAAATATTTGAGAAGTGACTCAGAAGCAGAGAGCGAAGTTGATCAGGTTCTTGAACCCACAAACCCTGAGCATAACATAGCTCCGTGATCCATTTGTTCCCTTTCTTTCTAGCAACCCATTTATGGAAGAATTTGGTGTTCTGTCTCCAAATTGTGACCAGTTAAGCTTGGCCCTCTGATGCCAATAATCCTGTTGTAGCTGTAGTGGTTCCTCCAATTCCACTCGGTGCTATTCCAGCTTCATGCTAAATTGCTCATCTGATTTATTTCTTTCCCATTGCATTTGTACTTGTGCCAGGATCTCAGTCAGCTTGAAGACTAGAGTATCTGGGTTGCCATAACGCATTTTATTCTACTGATGGAGTTTAGACAAAGTTCTATCCAGTCAAAATGAGAGGCTATCCTGGGGACTATCAATATGAAGTGGAGAATGAGTCCAGGCTTAGGTTACCAAATCCTTTGAAGAAGGACAATTCAACCAGAACTGCTCAAATTTTTTATGTCTCTTCTGAGAGCATTTTTGCTTAAGTTCCATAAGAATTGGGCCATGATCCGAGCTCATGATTGGAAGGTTTCTTATGAAAGCCTTGTTAAAAGTGGTAAGCCATTGCTTGTTGACAAAAGCACGATCTAACCTTTCAAAAATTGCCTCATGCCCTTGTCTCTTGTTTGTCCATTTATACCAACAACCAAATGCTTCAATTCCTCTAAGTCATTAGAAGACAATAGCTGCTGTATGTTTCTTGTCTTGAGGCCTAACTGGACGCCCACCAAATTTATCCTCCTGATCTAAGATTTGATTAAAATCCCCTAACAAGATACTGGGGTAACTAAAGCCCTGGATGATCCCATTTAAATGTGACCAAAATGCAGCCCTGTCTTGCTGCGAAGGGGGACCATACAGAAAAATAGCCAGCCATTCCAGGCCTGTAATTTCCCTAACCTTAGTGACTATTACATTGGCATTCTGATAAAGCACACGTAACTGAACACCATCAACCCAAAAAAGACACAAACCACCACTAAGTCCTACAAGATCTATTACAACGGAATTATTAAAAATAGAAGATTGTTGCCAAGCCAACACATTAACCTTACTAGCCCTGGTCTCCATCACAAACAAAATACTAGGCTTATAATTTTTAACTAATCTACCTAATACATATTTTGATGAGGCATTATTCATGCCCCTACAATTCCAAGAAAGGATATTCATGGAAATAAAGGCAGTTGATCTGGTTCAACCGCCGCAAAACACTTCAGAAAGGTAGAGAACTTTCCAGATACCGTAGTCTAGGCAGTACCAAATGCTTCTAAACCTTGGCTACTTTGTGAGACCAAGAGCCTCCTTTTGTAAGGGTGTGTAATATGGGTATGCGTATGGTCTACCTCAAGGGACTCCTTTTACCACCAGCAGAAAAATGACAAGAGCTTGAAAAACCAAATGAGGAAGATTTACTGGAGGAGCGTTTCCACTTCCTGTAGGGTGTGTCTATCATTTTTTGTGTGGAAGTTGACGGAATGAGCATTAGTCTTGTTGATGGATGGTAAGTTTATTGTGCTCCCCTGATCAACAACCTTCTGTGGTACTGCAGATGCGATTTGTTCTTCATGTACTAAATCCATGAGTGCTGCTGAAACCGAACCAGAAATATTATCCTCAACAGGAGCTCCTTCAGGTTTGGAAGTGGATATTGGTCTCCAAATCATTTGCTCTCTCTGCTTACAAGGAAAACGTTCATGTGCACCACTACGCTTCTTTTTCTTTTGGTTACCTTTCATTGGAGAGTCTTCAGTTGGAGACCCCCTTTCTAGAGATGCAGCTTTGCTCAAAGTCATGGAAATAGTAGACATTCCATTTGTCATTTTAGTAGATAAATTTTGTTGAAGATCAATAAAATGACATTTAAGTAACTCTCCGATGGCTATTGCTTTTGGGATGGCAAAACTCAAAGCTGAAATTTGTAAGGAATTCTACTGTTGCAGTATACATTTGGCAAGAGAGACATATTTATTAACCTTTTCATGAGTAGCAATCCTCAATTCTTCCATTAGTAGTACCCAATTTTAGAAAGCGCGAGACCCACAAAATTATCAAACACCAAGCCTTCGAGAATGAATCTGTGACTTCAAGAAAAGCTTCTTCGATTGGCGCTTGATTGTTGTCTGAACAGGGACATTCCCATCAGTTGCAGACTTTAAAGAGTCCGTCCACCAGATCAGAAATGTCGGATTGTTGAAGCTTACTTCAGTCTTCGATTGTTCGAGATGTGGCTGATTCAGAACTGGATGATTATTGGGGCTAGCTCGGTTGGGATTAATTTGAATAAGCCAAATTAGTTCAGACTTGAAGAATCACAGAGCTCCGACATCAATTGCAGCGTTGAAGGTCGGGGTTTGGGAGAATTTCTGGAATGCGGGAGGGTTCTTTTTAGGGGCGCGTGAGGCGCGTTTCCTGTTAAATTGCTGCTTTTTTCTTTTCCCAAAAGCATTTGTCATTTCAAATAATACACTTCTTTATTTTCCATACTGATGCAATAATTAGAATAAATATGTTTACTAGTGAGATATACATATAATTGCACTGGGGAGGAACTAGAGGTTTATCGTCTCACGGACACTGAATTTTGAATTTTACTTTATTAGATTTGGAACATATTACTGATACACAGGGTGAAACAAACTTGCGCGAAGCAATTCTGTTTATGAATGGTCCAACATTAGAGTTAACAATCATCTTTTGTTTTTTTTTGAGAATGGAAAGGTTTGGTGGGATTTTAAGGATAAAATGTTATATCAACCAAATGGGGTTCAAAATTGGCCTTAAATCCTCTTCTTTCATAAGTATGTTTCAATTTTTTAGACCTGTCAATAAACAGTGCAGGGACTGAAACATAAGTGGTTGATGAATATGACTCAAATGAGACATGGGTAAATTTTTGTTTAGAACAACACAAACGGAAGGAAAACAGAAACAGAAATGGTAGTAGAGTAGTAAACTGCAAAACCAAAAGCTCTTAAGATATCCTCTTCCTTGCAACCGATTACATCCAAATTGATTCAGTAAGCCTTCATAACTAAAACAACAAAGCAGCAATGTAGCTACAACTCTCTAAATTAACCTTTGATATTGAAAAACCATCATCATCATCACCAGTCTTTTAAGAAATTAAACCGCAACACCCACTTTAATTCCACTATGAGCCTGAGACATCGATTCCTAACTTAGCCAACCTATCAATTTGTGCTTGCACTTTTTTTTTGTACTTTTCCACCTCGCCTTGGGGCTTCTCCACCATTTTTTTAAGGCATTGGTCCCAATCGTAATCCTTAAGGGAAAGATCATCGGTCATTTTTCGCTTCCTCATCAATTCCTTTTCAGCCTTGTCCAACTGTTTTTTAGCCTCGCGCAGGAGGTACTTTGCCCCTTTGATTTCTCCCGAATCAGCAGACTTGCATTTTATGGTTGCAATACCAGCTGCCAGAAAAGAAACCCAAAAAAGGGGATAAATAAATTACAAGCTGAAGCATATTTCAAAATCACAAGTAAAACTGGAATCATATTTCCACAAGATTCTGCTTACCTTGCAACCTGAGGTTGACCCTTCTGGTTGGAACCATTCCGGGAATCGACGGAAACCTTGAGAGATCACTCATCAGAGACATTTTCTGCACTAAAGATTCAGAGAGAAACAGAAAAGTTTAGACCTTGCACCCGGAAACAAACCAAAAATGAAAAAGAACAGAACTTTAGACTAAATTAACATTCTCTAAGAAACCCAGTAACAAAAAAAAAAGCTTAAAATGGAGAAACGGGTACAGGAATTTTAAGAGAGGAGGAAGCAAAGAAGCAGAAAATTGCAGACGAAAACAATAAAACAGAGCAAAATGATGAAAAGGCTCGTTCTTTTTTTTCCCCATTGAGCCGAAGCTGCTGATGATTCAGGATGAAATTGAGAAAATATCAAAGGCATTTGAATCAAAAACAGAAAATTTAAATCAATGGAGGAATGAAAAAGGTAACTTAATATGGGCTACCTTTGGCTTTGGTCGGTATGAAGAACAGAGCAAGAAAGAACGCAGGATTGCGTCAAATGGATATTCTGAAATCTGATATGAACAAAAATGCTAATGTGACTAAATAAAGCTACAAAGGCATGTAAATATACAATGCCATTGATCGGATATCCTTTTGGCTTTGCCGTAACCGTAGGATCGATCGTACCTGAGCACTGCGCAGGGCATGAAAATGGCATGCTCTGTTTCTGCGTGCAGCGAAAGGACGATTTTTTTTTTTTGTAAATAGACCCCCAAAGTTTATAGGATCTTTTAATTAGCCCCTTCCATTTTCTTTCTTTCTTGCCTTCTTATTCCTCTTTTTGGTTTCTGAACATATAATAGGAGAAGTTTATATTACTACTGTAATGTAATTACATTTTCCCAAAACTATTTTCAAGAGGAGTGTCAAATTGTAATGCAATTACAGTAGAGTGTTTGTTTTCCACTTACTTCCACTGAATGAACAACAGAAAACAATTCATTTTGATGTTAATTGTTTTCTTTGACAAATATCAATACACAGCTCGACCATGTCTTCTTTCTTCATCAGTTGCAATTTGGCATGCACAGACTGAGGAGAGGACCGGTTGGATAATGTATTGTAATTAAACCATGGATCCTGTTGTTATCAATAATTAGTACTACGAGTTTTAAATTTTATACTACTTTATAAACTTAGCACTCAAAGAAATGTCAACTAGCTAAGAGCGGTTATGTATTTGAAATATAATGCAAATACTCTACATAGTGATGATGCGGTAAAATGAGTGTGTACTAATTGGTGCTAAATGTGGTGCATATTCTTGCTAGCTACGGAGCATGCCTGAATTGTATCGTTGATATGGATGATGAAGTTTTGTTTTGTTTTTAATTTTTGTAACACTCTGAATTACCATGAAATTACAAATGTTGCACGTAGGCTGTTTTAATTATATTTAAATTTTAGCAACACGAAAAAGTAAATTTGTTAGTGTCGATTACAACTTTTTTTGGGTTGAAATAAAATGAAAAATTAAATTTGATTGTGCAAATTAAGGGTGAATCATCATGTATAATTAGTGAAGGAGGAGTGGTACAAATGTAGTACGAGTAAAAAAGAGTAGTAAAAAAAAGATGATTGTAGGCTAGGGACCAGCAGTAAAAAAAGAGTAGAGGCCAGGGAGCTAGGGGCAGTAGAAACAGTAAAGCTGCGCAAAAGCAACACAAACAAGCTAAGAAAGCCAGCCAATCTGGTTCCTGGGTTTCAGGTTCGTATTTTGAGCAGAGCCACACACATTACGACTTCAGGCACAGAGTTAGTTAGGATTTTTTGAGATTAAAACAAAAATATAGTGAAGTAATAAAAATTCTGACGCTTTGTGTCTGTGTAAAACGTGGTGTTTTCTCCTCTACTGCATATATGTAATAAACAGGTCACTTTCATTCCCTTATGATTTCATGATAACATTTTTGTTCATCACATTTTAATTATTTTGAAAATGTTAAATGAATTGAGTTGATTTATAGCACTCCCTTCATCCTAAAATATATTTTTTTCTATACAAATTCACTGTGGCGGAGACAGGGGGACCAATAGGGACAGTCGCCTCCCCCTCAATTTTTTTATTAAATGAGGACTTAATTTTCTAGTATAAGATTTTAGAAAATCATAATTTCGCCCTGCTATATAAAAATTTTATCATTTCGCCCTTGCTATTTAGGATTTTTGGCTTCGTCACTGCAATTTCATCAATATTAACAAAATATTAAATAATATATTTAAAATATAAAATTACCGTTATTTATTATACATACAGCTTATTACCAACTAATACAATTTTAATTTAAATACCATTTTATTCTCAATGCAAAGGATATTTTTAAAATAACAAGATAAAAGTTGCCTCAATTTTATAAAATGACATATATTTTAAAAACTTTAATAAATCCTAAAACGATATATTTTTAAGAATAGAGTGAGTGATGATAATCCTTGAATGCATCATTAATTATTCCCTCTGTCTCATGACTACTGTCCACTTTACCAAAAAAAATTGTCCCAAAATTATTGTTCAATTTGACTTTTGATGAAGTAAGTTACACATTTGCCTTTCACTAGAACCGTTTTATCCAGTTGATAGAATAAGTTAACTAGCAACATGAACCAATTTCGCTCCTCCGATGTGTGACTTTTTTTTAAAAAAAAATTATTTTTTTATCTCAATTTTGATCTCAGCGAAACTGGTCGGCTCCTTCCACCAACAACCTTACTAGCTAAACTAGCACAAGCACTCTGTCAATCCGCCACCGGCTCCCTCCACTAACAACTCCTCTGATGTTGAAACTTGTTGAGCCACCACAGCCACTGCCGGCGAGCCGTTAGTGGCGGAAGTAGCACCATTGACATCGTTTACTTTGGTGGTGACTGCCGCCAAATCGAATTGGTAGACTCTGCGGAGAACCAGTTTTCGACCTGGGTTGAAACTGAGTCGGTGGTTGCAAGTCAGACTTGGTGGCGAAAAAGAAGAATGAAAAGATTATGTAGTTATATATTTTCTTCAATTATTTTTCTTGAGTTTTGATTGAAATATGAATTGGGGTTGCTTTCTAAATATCGGTTCTAATGAGGGAAAAGATGAAGTTGTGTTTATAAATCCATAAACCTTTTGCCGGTTAAACAATTATTTCAGGGGTAAAAATAAAAAATATAGTTAAATTTGATCAAAAATAAAATATTTCATTTTACGTAAATTGGACATTAATCATGCGGCGGAAAGAGTACTAAAAAAATGGATTAAGTTATGATTTGGGATCATCAATAGTTAATCTCATCATTGGATATTGAATAGTATATTGAGAATCGATGGAAGTGAACCGATACTGGTAAAGTAGAAGAAAAGTCCCCCGAGACAAACAGAATTTAATGCATCTTGGCCAATATACCAAAAAGAAAGCTTGCCTTTCTGGGATCAGACAAAAATAAAGTGAAAATTTTCAGGTTTTGAGCCGCACTGGTATACCTGCCTGCTGGCCTGGACGTTTTTGGGACCTACAAAATGAGAGAGTGACCCAAATGTGCTATGCGCCTCACTTATTTCAGGAGGCCTTAACTTTTTTTTTTTTGTTCATTGTTTTTTGACAATTATGGTTAATAGAAAAAGATATTCTCTCGTTATAAAATATTTATTCAGTTTAAATTCTTATTTTTAGTAAAAATTTTAATTGGACAACTATTTCAGACGAAGAAAATACATAATTACAAATATGTAAGTTGAAAAACAAGCTCATGGACCTCCTTGATTTTATCTCTACCTATTTTAATAATATTATATTGAGTAAGCTCACTTTTAATAGAAACTAACTTCGTTAATGAGTTTGTGTTTTTAAAACACCATCGAACCGGGGTGGTGGAGCCTCTTCGATCGAGAATCTGGGCCTTCCTGATTCGGTCAAATCTAGATAAAATTACAGTTTAATCGGGAACCGGTATCGGTTGATCCGATTTTTAAATTTTTTTTAATAAAATATTTCTTAATATTTGTTGTTGCTGGTTTTCACTAATTTTGAAAGCCAATTCGAATTGGTCAATCAGTGAACTAGTTAAATTGTTGGTTTGCCTTCCAGTTCGGTTATCAAAACATAGAAGTGAGGCACAACGAAATAATAAATTAAATTTAGGAGAAATCAAAATGTCTCATAGCAAGGAGTAGAAGTAGCTATATTTTCTTTTTCTTTTTTTTTTGGAGGTTTTTTTCTCATATGTTTTTTTTTTCTTTTTTTTGTCTCAATGACATACTTATAAGTTGTTAACCTCTTTACAACAAGGGCTTATATTATTGCATACTTGATTTTCTGCGTGCGTTTTACGAAATATGTTAACATAAGGTATTACGTTGATACTTAGACGTAAAAAATTTAATTACATTGCGAATCAAATTTTATTCTCTATCTAGAAATAAAATTGTTTGAATAAGATTGATGTTAGAGCCACTGAATTTGAATACAAGGAAAATATTTTATTTTGATATTTTCATAATTTTACCCGGAGTCTCAACATTTTTTTTTCCAATTCAAACAATGAGACGGCGGTCAAATTTTCAAGTGGTGCAAATAAATTATTAAAGTTTTTCTCTCAAAAAATTATTTTAGTAAAAGCTAATTATTAATTTATGTAGTTAGACTTTTTCTTTTAAAAAAATCAAAACTATGTAACAATTGAATTGATATGTTTTAGAGATTTTATTTAATTATAATGTAATATATATCTTTCATTTCTCCTTTGATAGTTGTTTTAAGATTAAAAGATATATTAATTTTTAACCAAAATGGCCCCATTTTGTTTTGGGGGCAAAATGTTTCATGAGAGTGCGACATCTTATCCTTTTTTCTCTTTTGGATTTTTGTTTCAATAAAGTATAATATTGATTTCAATATACCAAAGACTCTGAATCTATAAATGAGGATGATGTGGAGTGACTTGCTGTGAAAATGAGGGTGAAGGTGGAATGATAGGTACCAAAATGCAGCTCTTAAGAAGTTAGACAAAATCAGGGAAGATTCTCTCATTGGCCTGGCAAGTAGGTTTGATTGTTTTAGTGGAGATATTTCCTTGATGTTGATACTCTCAT